ATCAGCGGTACGAAGGACATCCGTCTTGTCGCCCGAGGCGGACGTGTGTGGGACGCCTCGACGCTGACAGAGGTCTGGCCCGTCCCGGGTTGGCGTGAATTGTTGCCTCCCTTGAATGCGGAGTGACAGAATATATAAGGCATAGTGTGGAACGTGCTCCGCCTATTGTGTATAACTCTGTACGGTGGACTTTACAAGCTCGCAACAGCGCAACTCAGGTCGCGGGCGTGGAGTCTTTCCACGACGCTTCCCTGTTTCCACATGCGCGAGTATGATATGACAACATGTGCTACGTATCGTCTCCTGTTGTCTGCCGTCTTCAATCCCACGGAGGGCGGCGGGGATTCTAAAGCATTTAGCGCCAAGGCCAAGGTCAAAGCGTCTGAGTGTGGCGGTGCACAGGGAACACGCGACAAGAACAATAAGAAGCTGAGACGGACAGCCCATGCTGTTCAACTTGTTCTTCGCTCCCACCCTCCACCACTCTCGCCTCGCATCTCTCACAAAACTTGCTACATCATCGCGATCATGGCCCTTCAGCGCCGTATGGAGATGCCATTGATAGGGCCTTTCACGGACACATTGCCGTCAGATTCTCTGAGGATATGCCACTACTGCCGCCAGAAGGAGAGCAAATCTCTGAAGCTCAAGACATGCTCTTCATGCTATATACGAACGTTTTGCAGCAAGGAGTGCCAGAGAGCGGATTGGCCATCGCATAAGTCGGTAACAGTTCTCTCTTCGTTGTGTATGTGAAAAGCAAATACTGAATGATATCACAACCGGCCCGTCTCCGGTTGCATTTCAGAGTGTTGTGCCGCAGCAACAGCGAGCTGGAGGCGCACGATCCCGAAGATCGACAAAGGATGCTACGCAAAGAAGCACTTGCTGTTCTGGGTTTCCGGGACGTTCGGACCTTCTGCAAGGCAAGGGTAGACTGGCGCGAAGCACACTACTGGGCGATACTGGTGATGACCTACGCGCGCATACTCCAGTCAGGAGGTATCCAGGCGCTACACGACGGTCCATCCTATTCGTTGTACATGGCCTCGCGACGTCGCCAGCCGTCTTCGCCGGATCCAAGCCCCGCCCAGATGTTCGAAATCGTAGCTGATAGTGTCTTGAAGTTGAAGAGCAGCGTGGACCGGGCGGCCAATCCGAACGCCAGAACTCGGGGTTGGATGTCCGAGGAGATCCAGAAGGACCACGACGAATGGATCGAGGAGCTAAAGGAGCGCTATCAAGAACGATACTCCGGCTACGTGACCATCACATTCATCATCAAGGGAGTGTCCCCGCTCGAGACGATGCGGGTCCCCTTTCTCCTCAATAGAACGTCAACTCCCCCTCCCGACAACCTGAAGGCTATACTTGAGGACCTCGTGACCTTGTTCCGAGGTTGCGTGAACGCTGGCCTAGCGCTCCGGTTCATCGAGGGTGTGAAATATGCATCGGAGGAAGAGGAGTTAATGGCCCAGGCGTTGCCCGGGAGGATTGTCCGTAGAGGGGCATGGACTTGGGAGCCGTTATTCTTGGACTGGGACGAGCTCACTCCGACGCACCCAGCATACGAAACACTGCACCCGATCGTCGCGCAGATGACATCTGGCTTGTCACCCAGATACGCATGCTCGAATCATTTCGCCATACACGTTCTGTAAGTTCCCTGGTTCTCAGTGCACCTTGAGCCGCGATGTAGACCACCTACTGACTATTTCCTAGTGGTTTGCTGTAGTGAAGATTTTGGTGCGATATACCATAAACAAATCATCGTCATATGTGTTTGTGATTTCAAAGCCTCTGATTTTCATTCCCTATGTTGCCAGGACGGCGTGTCGATCCACCAGCAGCAAGCAATCTTCAGTGGTTCGAAATCGTACAGCAATCGTCAGTGGTTCGAAATCGTACGGGACATTTTTGTCAGCGCGCATTCCATTGCACACACGTCGCGCACGGACACGTCTCGACTATCTAGGCGTGCTATCAGCAGTGGGACCGAATACAAACCTGCAGGAATTGGAGGTGGCGGCGGTGCACGACTCGGACAGACTACAACCCCGCCACGGCGCTCGTCATGAAGTGTGAAGGCGCGCTCGCCATCATTCGTCCAGCTCGCCCGGCTCGCGGCCATCGACGCGGAGTACTGGGAGTAGAGCGCGCCCTCGCGCGCGCAGTCCGCGCGAAAGGAAGCTGGCGCGGCGTGCCAGGATACGGGCCTCCTCGCCGTGCAGTTCAAGATCCCGGTCATCGACTACTTCTTCGCGTTCGACGTCCTCGTGCTCCACACGCGTAGCCCGCTCCCGCTCTCGGACGAGTGCGTGAAGGCGGCTCTGCAGGGAGTCGTTGCGTTGTGGGAAGCGAGCATCGCTAAGCCGTTCCCTCTGCGATGGACTCTCCGGATACGAATATCCCGCTTCCGGCGGGGAAGTTTGTGAAGAAAAGAGGCTTATGAGTATGGGAGGCGATCTGCGCGGATTGGGAGGACTGCGACCGCGATACTGCAACTGCTGAGTATGCAGCATTCTTAGGGTGCTGGCGTCTGTCGAAAGCGGTTGCCCGCCCAAGCAACTACTGCAGGTATACAGGTCGATATGGAGGGAACCTGATGTCCGGCAGAGCCGCGGCATCCATGCCGTCAGTAAGTTTGAACGAGGGAGGTAGTCTTCAGTTTGTGCACCTCGGGCTGATGGCGTTCATCATATATCAGGGCTGGATGACTTTGACTCAGATACGGAAGTCCACAATGGAGAGCTCGAGTCGCAGCGCAAATTGAGCTCGCTGAGCCTGTCTTGATGTCGTAGCAAGGTTGTTTGAAGGTACGATTGCCGATGTATGCGTAATTACTGTTGTATACATCAAAGGCATGCCACCTCGCCGAGTGATCAATCAACCTGGTCGTCCAAGAACGTCATGCTGCGCCGCCGATGCTGCCTGTACCTGGGCCGCGGATCGTGCGCGTAAACGGGAGCTGTATGTCCCAGCTGGCACTTATCCTACCTTCACACTCTCCTACAATTATGTTCGATCAAATCTGCACATTATCATTATTGACGTCACACAAATACACATACAGAGAAGGGAAGGATTACGAGCCCAATAATGAGCGTGTGCTGACACCAAGATGTGTCGGATGTGTGGAAACTACTTCAAAACATGATCTCCCGTGGCTCGTCAGCAGAATCGAGCCTCTCCGAGAACCGAGAACTGAACGCGAACCAGGTCGAGTCACTGCGCGGCGCCGTGGTCGAAGACTCGTGCCAACCTTCCGAGGAGACCGACCCGACATCCGACCCGAAGTCGTCCAGGTCGACGCTGCCGGGTGAGCTCAGCCCGTCTTCGATCTCCGACCACTCGTTGTGGAGCTGTACGTCGGATAGCGGGGAAGAGCGGTCAGAGCGGTGCACAGAAGTCGGCGGAGACCAAGCAGGGGCAGCGAACGACGCAGAGAAGTCGAGCGTGGGCAGGACGAAAGAGTGCGCCGGGTCGATACCAGCGGACGACGCGCCCCAGCTACCGTTCACGTCGTGCGTTTCAGCGAACGCCGCGGTCTCAATGTGGGACCCGCCCTCGGACTCGGCTACGCTGAGCGTGTCGAGCGCAGCGTCCATCTCCTCGGCGTCCGTAGTGTCCTTGTCGTGCCACACTTCCTCGATCGCGCACCAGCCCGTGCCAGCTTCGCCGAGAATGCCTCGCACTCGGTTCGCTGTCCAGCCATCAAACCGCACTTCGAGGACCGTGCACAGGCCAGACGGGTCTCCACGGGCTTCGCAGTGGATACCAGGCTCGTCCAAGACATTAGCCGCGTCGAGGCGCGCGAAAAGCGAGGAAATTCTGAGCGCGTGCGTGCCATGCGACGTATGCATAGAAGCGATGACGTCTAGCGGAAGTAGAGGCCTTCCGTGTGAAGCGGGCGGCTCGGAGGAAAGGGGCAGGCGCGATGTCGGGGTGGGTGCGAGAGGGATGAGCAGGTGCGTGACCACCTCGGGGACGGAGGGAGCGGGGAAGTAATGCTCGAGCTCGTCCTGGTGCGACTCGACTGAGGTCGAGGCCGAAGCGCTGTCGATCTGAGGGACCGCCTTCAACGCGCGCAGGGGAGCCTGCATCTTCTTCGCCTGCTTGGATGCCGCCTTCGCCTTCGCCTTCTCAAGCTTCAGACGCTCGCGCTCCTCCTGCATCCGCACCTTCCACTCCGCTTCGCTGAACGCCCGCGCGTAGATCGGGACGTTCTCAGCCAAGTGCTGGAACACCGGCCGGCCCGTCGAGAAGTTGCGCGCGGTGCCCAGCCCGACCTGCGTCATGTTCCGCGGCACACCGGGCGCACGGGGCAAGAACGGTACCACAGGCGGACGCGAAAGGAATTGGCGGGCGGGGTACGACATCCGCTCGTGAAAGCTCGGCATGCGCGTCGCTGGGACATGGAACGCACGAGCATGCGAGGCTCCTGCGACGACATCGGCGGGGGCACGGAGAGTGCCTGGGGTGGTGAGGTGTGCGACGAAGCGCGAGAGGATCGTCCGAGTGTGCTTGATGACCGCTTGCGCGGTCGAGGTTGCGTGGCTTGCGGTCGGTCGAGGGACTGCTGCGGGAATGTGTATTGCTCGTGCCGCGGTCTGCGTGCCGCCACCAGGAGGGAAGAGGTGGGCTTGCGCCCCTTTGAGGGCGCGGAGCCCAGACGATGCCAGCGGCATCGCTCAACGCTGTGGAGGATGCAGACGATGGAGAGGGGATGGTGGTGGTAGCGGACGAAGAGTGGGGAGCGCAGCCATGGCGAGGAGCGGGCGGGGTAAGCAGCGATCGGCAGCACACGATCTCCGTCGACGGCGCCGGAGCGACGCGCAACAGGCGCCAATGCTGTGCTCCTCTCGATATGGAAGGTATCCTAGAACGCACAGCTTAAGGCAAAAGATATATATAGCCATGTCCATTCAGGCGACTCGCAATACTGACTACAATGAGTCGATAAAGCTTACAGTTCTTCGTCTTGTGGAGAGCTGTCACGTTGAGTCGGCCCAGGTTCGGACTGAGGACCTCTTGTGTTTTAGACAGATGCGAAAACCAACTACGCCATCGACCTAATGGCAAGCGCTCGCCTGCTCACGCAGGACCGGGTGAATACGCTTCTGAGCGGCATCTCTCAGCTGCGATCTTTACAGTGCTTCATATACTGAGGGTAGATCGGACTGGGGCAGGACCAGGCCGAGGAAAGCAAATTGCAGCACTGCGATCCACTTGTTGTTGACCAGCGCACCCGTCGTGCTGTCACTATCCAATCCAGATCTGTTCCGTGCCAACAGCGCGCTGATGTAATACTAACGAGTTGACGACACACCTCACAGTGCGAAATTGACCGCAGTGCGAAATCGCACAAACAGCCCGCGCTATCAGAACAAAACGTTGAGTCGACCCAGGTTCGAACTGAGGACCTTCTGTGTGTTAGACAGATGCGATAACCAACTACGCCATCGACCCGTTGTCGAGGATGCCCTTTGCAGGTCTATAATCATGTGTATTTTCCCATCCAGGCGCCTCACTACAAATCGGGGCGAGTCAATCTCCCTCTACCGCTTGTGACGCTGGAGGCTCTTGAGCCTGGCAACGTCGTCTGTAATCCCCCAAACTTCGGGTCTTTGCATCTGTGCAAAGGCCATGTCATAGGAGTGACCAAGGTTTGCAGGGCACCCGGGCGTCGTGGTGAATGCTGTGGTGCTCTTGAACGAAGCCAAGCTGAAGGATATTAGAAAGCAGTTTGGCCGGCGCGTATGTTGGGCAGTGAAACCGAGTCTTTCTCCGGTAGCCAGATCTTCCCGGGGGGCATGGTTGGGTTCGCAACTGAACAATCGTAGTTTTCAGGGCAAGCCGCACTTTATCATGCATGGAGATCGGAACGGCAGGCCTCCCTGCAGTCGAAACCCTCCCGGGAAACCTCGGGCCTCGGCCTCCCATCACAATCTCTGTCCCGTAGGCATGATGGTGGTGGAGGGTAATCACTTGTAGACGTTCGTCGTCGCTATCGCATTACTTATGATCATACAGCGGTCTCCAGAGTACTCATTACACGTGAGCGGTAGTCCGGATCCGGTAGCTTGCCAAGCCGCAACATCGCGCGTGCCGCGCGGACAAGGGCGGCCTGATGAGCGTGTCGCCGTCGGTAAGCGCGAACCTCGGCTCGCCTCGCAAGCACATGCCCATTGGTCGTCCCGCGGTACCTGGGTGTCCTGGAGACATCTAGCAGAACGTTCCGTCGGATACGGCCGCCGCCCAGACGGACGATAAAAAGCGGCGGGGCGAGCACAACACCTCTGCGCACCTTCGTTCCTTCCTTTCTTCGGTCACAGGCCCTCCCTCCGTGCCTCGTCTTCTCCTTCCTTTCCTATACCTCTGGCAGGTCTCTAGCCCGGTGCCCCTTGCATACCCTCTCATTCATCTGTCGTCTTTGAACAATCCCTCGTCATCATGTTGGTTCCCTTCGCTGTTCTCGCTCTCTCCGTCTCCTCGGTTTACGGGCACGCCTTCATCGACTCGGTCAAAGGCGCCAACGGCGTCACCGGCGTCGGTCTCGGTGTGACGTTTAACGGGGAGGTTGCTCGCGGTGGCACCGGCGAGCAGCCTTTCCAGCTTGATACTCCGGTCTTGAAGGATACCGCCACTGGTAAGGAGTTGAGATACCGGAGTTGAAATGCAGATGCTAATCGTTTTCCAGACCCTTGTGGCGCCACCCTCCTTGCTGGGTCTGTCGACATCGCCAAGTCGATGGCGGCCGTCTCGCAGGCGTTCGGCGGCTTGCCGACTATCCCCGCCGACGGTTCCCTCACCATGGGTGTCTTCCAGGTGAACGCCGACGGCGGTGGACCGTTCACTGCCGAGATCAACACCGACGCGACTGGCGCCAAGTGGTCGACGATTGAAGTCACCAGCCAGCCCCCCGGTGTGAACGGCGTGCTCCAGTAAGTTGCGCGTCTCCGTATCTCCGGCGCATGCTCACAGCCACCACCCCTGCAGCAACGGTCCCGCCAACTCTTCCATCACCGTCACTGTCCCCAGCAACACCAAGTGCACGGGCGGCACTGACGGCGCTACCTGCCTTATCCGTTTGAACAACGGTGGCCCCGGCACTGGTTCGCTCGCGAACGGTGCTGGTCCCTTCGGTGGTTGTGTCGCTGTTTCTCAGGGTGAGCGGGCTCATTCTGTTCGTTATGTTGGTTAGTCTGACGCAATGACCAGCCAACGGTGCGACTGGAACTGGCAACAATACCTCTGGCGCTGCCAACAACGCCAGCGGCAGCACCGCTACTGGCAACAACCGCAACGGTAGCAACCGCAACAGCGGCAACCGCAACGCCGTCAAGAACAGTTTCTACGGTCGCCTCGTCGCGCGTCACAACGAGCTCCAGGACCTGCAGGCGAAGCGCGAGCTCCTAGACCGCTCCATCCTCGAGGCCCGCCAGAAGCTCACTGCCCAGCTTATCGATGAGCTGAAGACCACCACCGGTACCGCCATTGACAGTGAGTGTCGTTCGCGCAGAGCGCATGCTCTGGAGCTCACACTCCCTCAGTCCCCATCGACCGCATGGCCGGCTTCGACGATGCTGCTGCCACCGGTGGCAACTCGACCAAGGCGCAGAACAACGATGCCCCGCTCACTCAGCAGGAGGCCGTTGACCTCAAGAAGGCCGTTCAGCTGGCGATCGAGCAGGGTGAGTGTCGTGTACCGAGTGCATGATCATTCATCTGACCACCTCTCAAGCCATTAAGTTGATGGCTAGCGACGAGGTCGATGCGGGCAAGTTCGGCCAGGACTCCGTGAGTCTTCCTTACCCCGTGCTAGCCGTGCGACCAACTGATGACTTTGGACTAGACCATCACCGACAAGCTCAACGCGGAGGCCGACGCTGCCCAGGCCTCCGGCGCTACATCCATCAACGCCGGCAACGCCGGTGTCGGCCACTTCCGGACCGAGGTTGTCGACGAGCTCCTCGGCGGCATCAAGACCGCTACTGCTGACCTCGCCGCGACTGCGACTGCAACTGCAACTGGCGCGGCTGCCACCAGCACGGCCGCCACCGGCAACGGACGCGGCAGCAACAACGCCAGCGGCGGCAACGCCACCAACAGCGGGAACGGGCGCGGCAGCGGCCGCAACCGCTTCGGCGGCAACGGACGCGCAGTCAGCAACAACCGCCGCCGCATGCAGCTCCTCAAGCGCCGCATCGCGGAGGTCGAGTTTGCCAAGGAGGCGTGAGCGATGGGCGAGGCGTACTTACACACAGCACACCGTGCATTATGACGACCGGGCTGTTCCACTGGCATGGGCGGCGCTTTTGACTCAATCATCACCCTCGGCGCGTCTCGCTTGCGCTCAGGTTACATACAGTATGGGGTGTAGGATATTTGGAATGACAAAAGGTTGGAGGGCCTGATCACCAACGCCATCCCGTGTGCAGCGTGAGCGCCCCGCCGTGGCAAGAGCGGGTCAGACCCGGCGTTGATCCGCCAGAGCGCACTGCAGGGGGGCTTCTTGGCTCGGCTCGAGCCCTGCAGGACTTCGCGATCAGAATTCGGGTTCAAAACGCGAGTCCGCCTCACAACACACGGGCTTCTCGCGCCGTTCGTGCCCGCCGGCGCTGCGGCGAGGGACTTCGCCAGATCTACTTATGCCGATCGGGGATGCCGACATCGTCCTGCGTTCAGTGTCTGTGCTGGCTGTTTGTATGCACGCAGCACGCCCGCGCGCCCCTGAGCGTTGTGGCCGGCCGCCGTGCGATGTTGTGTGTTGGTTGCCAGAAGCTGCGACCCGGCATGGGACTGCCAAGGCCTGGCCAGGCTTAACTCAATGGCCAGCGCGACCCTAGGCCTGTGACCGTGTCCTGCGCGGGTGCAATTTGTCAATTGTCGGCGCGTCGTGCGGTTACCGTCGGTTCCCGCCATCTCAGGTCACGCGCGGACAGGCTGGCGAGTTCAAGGCGCACTTCCCGTGTAGACGGCTGCATAGCAGGCGCGCCCACAGTCGAGGCACGGGCAACTTGTGATGATGGGAGTGATGTATCGGACAGTGCGCCAATTATGGGAGGCAGCAATGGTTGCCGACTGCGCTAAACACGCGGCGTGGTATAGACTGGACGAGGCGCGTGATGGATTGGTTCGCATACTCGCCGACATCCAAACTCATGTTCCTATGAGGTAATGAGTCCATGGGTAGCAGCTGCACAGGAGGGCGCTGCGCCTCAGTGTGCCGGTCGCAGCTACATGCAACAAAGCCGTCGGCAAGCTGCGCGGTTGCCCGTAACAGACGGGAGTAGGCCGCATGACGGACAACGAACAACTACAGGCTGCGATGCTCCCCGGAACGTGTGAGTCCATGAGTTCGGCGACGCACAAGGCGAGCATTGACCTCATGACGATATTCTCGCGGGAGAACGTCGCCGTCGAGCAGGTGGGTCTGCCTGCCATGATCCACGCCACCGAAGTTTGTTGCAGGCATTATCGCTGGCTCAACGAAATCCAAGCGTCCGTCATCGCGCTGCAGTGTTGATTACTTTGCTAGAAGCTCCGTAATCACCGATGTGCTGTCTGAGTATGCTCAGGAGTAGGCGGGTTTGACCCTCGCCCATGTATGCCTGCAACGACGCACGAACCTCTGATATCCGATCATACGGTGCATCTTCACTTGCGCAAATTGCAGGGCGACGACGAAGCCGCATTGCGGCGCATGAGTAGAGAAGCGTTAATTAGTCACATGAAATCGGCGAACACCATCCTGCGTGATTCATTGACGTGCTGTGGTAGCTATGAGCAAAGTAGCCGAACCACCGCGCCCACCGCGGGAACGGGAAGCTGCGCAAAGACGCAAGAACTGCATGCTCGGGAGATGAAGTCTGGGAAGCCGGGATGAGAACGCACCAGAACCTGGCCTGTGAAACGCGATTGACAGGAGCGCACCCACCCACGCCCACGGAGTTACGCCGTTGAGTTGAGTTGAGTTGAGTTGAATCGCTTGAACTGAGATTGGGTGATGCTGTCGTCTCGGACAGCTCTCCGACCTGCACCGCTCTTGCGTGAGTCGATGCAGGCATCCTG